GGTTCGAAGACCTAAGTGTCCTTTCTGGAGAATAAAAGCGCACAAGCTCAGAAATATATGAAGGTGCCAGACCATGTACAGCCTTATAGACAAACATCAACAGTTTAAAATCAATCCGAAAACGAACAGGAAGCCAATGTAGAGAGGCAAGGACTGGAGTGATATGCTCATGGCGCCGCGTATTAGTTAAAAGACGAGCTGCTGCATTTTGGACCAACTGTAATCGGGACATTAAGGCTTGAGAAATGCCAGTATACAGTGCATTACAATAATCTAGTCTAGAGCTAATAAAGGCATGAATTGCCTTTTCAAAATCACTAAAAGAAAGAAAGTGTTTAACCTTAGCCAAAAGTCTCAATTGAAAAAAACTGGCTTTAACCACAGACTTTATCTGTTCGTCCAGCTTAAGAGCACCATCAAATACCACCCCAAGATTTCAATGTAACCAGTGGTGAAACCAGCTGATAATGGTTTTGACAGAAAATATATATATAGTTTAGTCATTGGCCATGAGCGCACACTTATGTCAGATGACTGAATCCAGATTTTTTTAAACCACAATTCAGGTGGGTGTTGAATCACCTAAATAACCTGATGTAACACATGTTACGACAAAGAGTTTTTATAATAAATGTTTACTTCTGTTTTTGTTCTGTTCATTCTACCTTTAGGTACCATTATCCTGTTCCTAAGATCTTCTATGTGCAGCTGTCTGTGGGGAGTCATGAATTTATTGGTGATGGACGCACCCGCCAAGCAGCCAGACACGATGCTGCCATGAAGGCCCTGGAGGCCCTGCGCAACGAACCCATCCCTGATCGGCCACCACAGGTAAACACACAAACAGCCACAGAAATGTTTACCGTAGCGTTGCATGTCAGTAGATGTTTAGCATTTCACTTGTTGGCTCCTTTTCTGGGAATACCCACTGCTATCTTGATTATAAAAATTGGAGCTCTCTCAGACTGATCCTTTTAGACTTGCTTATGAAAGTAAAATATTGCTAATTTCTTGCTTTTCTGGCTCCTAACCATAACTGCACCGTCAAGCCATCACCATAATTGCCACCGTTGACTGCTTTCACCCCAGATGATTTTGCATCTTCTCAACTGCCTTCTACTTGAAAACTGCTCCCTTAGTTAAACAATAGGATGTGCAATTGGGATTTGTCAATGCCCTCTCTGGAGTGGCTCTAAAGAGTGTTTTGCTATTTTTATATAGTTATAAAGGTGAATTTGTAATCAGCTCTCACCTGATTGGATCCAAATCCAACCCCATTTCTAATTAGTCTAATGCATAGTTTAGGTCCCTCAATCTTCATATTTTTCATTAGCACCTGGTGGAAGTGTATTTTCTGCTCCTCATTTGATTTTTTTTTTTGTCCTCCTTTCTGGCTCCTCCCAATGCATAGCTGTTAACTGTTGTTATCATCTCCCTCTGGAAATCAAATTACTCCCTGTCCTCACTGTTTAGTACTTCTGATGGTTATTTAAAACGCTTTGGTTCTTCTCACTCGCCTGACTTGCTGTCTTGTGGCATCAACCTTCATAAATGAGCTCTTTGTTCAGTGCAGATTCTGAGTCTTGCTTTACAAATTGAGACACATTGTGTCTATGGTATATGTCTGTCATATTGTCTCCTTATGCTTGTGTGTTACTACCCGTGTGAATGTGTAGATACCCTCAGGCTAGAAGTGTTCCTTTTCACCATGGGCTGTCAAAGCTTTATTTTAAGGAAGTCCACAGGTACATACTAGTGATGCTTTAATTAGTGTTTATGCACAGGTAAAGCAACAATATGTGACACTAGGAAACAAAAAACACCACCAACTTTGTAGGGCCTCAGGCAAATAAATACTGAAACCACTGACTAACTTGTAAATCCTTGCCAGTGGGTTTAGATGCTGGTGATACTTAAAACTTTGGCATGTGGTGCTGAACAAGGACACTTTCTGTCTATAGAGAGGCAGGTTTCTACCTCACAGTCAAAAGTTTGAATGGGTATTTATGAAGGAAAATCTGCATCATCAGTTTCTATGATAAAGGCTGCATGATCATTGCATGTTTCCTTGGTATGAAGGAAGAGACATTTGGATCTGTGAAACAGTATCCTGTATAACAAACACTTAATTTTGTAGGAATTATGTTGTTCTGTCCACTGCAAGCCCCTTCTTCCTATCCTTTAATCTTGTCCCCCTATTATGAAATCATAGATGTTTCGTGAAACATTCTGTTCAGTCAAACAGCTTGTTCAGGGTGTTAATTTCTCAGAGTGCTCCATGCTGTGAGTGATCAGTCGTGTTTTGTGGCCAAGTTTGTTTAATGCGCAAGTCTTTTACAGGTGTTTTTAAACAGAACGGCTGTCCTAATGTTATGGTAGAAATTCTAGACAGACATGTCTGTTGCAAGCAAACAGTCAATGCGATGTTGTCATAGCAATGTTTGTTCATAGGTACATCACTCGCCCGTCCAACGGAACAGATACTTACATTCTGTCAAATGTGTCAGTCCACACTGACTCGAGACATGCCATGAGATGCATATCACCCTGGCACCCCCCACGTTTTCCTTACGCCTCAAGTGTATTTATTTCTTCTTGTGCATGTAGTGAAGTGAAATCTCCACAGAGAGCTGTTTAAATCACATGAATCTCCTGTTATCTGTGTGCTGCAGTTTTATTACTGGTATGTATTTGGATTCCTGGTGTCACTCAGAGCATTGTGGTTTCACTTTTTCCCTACCCTCTGTAGCAAATCACTAAAATCAGTACATTTATACATAACAAAACATTGCTGATTTCTTCCTGATGAGCCTACATGAAATCTAATTTTGTCCAATACACTTCTGATGTCAGCCTGTAAAGACAGTTTGTCTGGCCGCTGTCCGTTAAGCTCCTGAGGGCCGGCTTACAGACAGCTGTTCTGATGACAGAGACGCTGAACATGGAGAACATAGTCATTGTGGACTGAACAGATCAAACACTTCAGTAACACGTACGGTAAATGGTCTTATACTTGTATAGTGCTTTTATACACTTTACAGCACATTCAAAGCTCACAGTGTCTTGCTCAAGGACACTTCGACATGTTGACTGGACAAGCCGGGAATGGAACCGCTAATCCTCCGGTTAGGAAACGACCAGCCCTACCTCCTAGGCCACAGCTGCCCCACTTATGCATTGCTAATGTCTTGCTTTTAATGTGAATGCCCAGCCTGACATTCGCATCCCTGAAGCATACCATCAAGTTTTTTTTAATAAGTAGTAGGTTACTAGAAACTTTGGGCGACTTGGTTTCCATTCCATTTTCAAACAGATACATTCCAGGAGACACTTAGACCCAGCAGCTAGTTAGTGCGGTGTTGATAGGGCATTCATGCTATTAATCGCACATATCAATAATGCTTGAAACAGCAGAAGAGGAAATGAACCACGAAACACATAAAAGAAGAATATTCTGAGGCCTTTTGCTCCGACTCACATCATCTCACATGCACATACAGTATACACATACAAATAATGAATGTACATAACAAAACAACACAACAGAAAATGCAGTGCACAGGTACACGGACCTCTGCCCAATGTGAGGTTTTAACCCTGGTGCAAAAGGTGCTGTGCCTCAAATCATACGACTGTTTCCCTGTGAAATCCAAGAGATCTCACAGCATGACTCATGCAATGTATCAGGTCACACAGTAAGAAGTTGGAGAAGGGAAGGAGCCCAGAGGGGAAGACCACAGCCATTCAAACTTAATCAGACAAAGAAATGGACATGAGAAGATAAAGATCGAGACAGCGCTGTATATTCTCATTGATATTTGGTACCAAAAAGCCCCTTGTTGTATGACTGATATGATCCCGATAGTGTGAACTAGGGATTTGTTTCCTTATTAGTGAGTGGGATTAATAGCAAGACTATTTAGGAATACCTGAAAATTATTCTCATAGATTTGTTTGATCCATAGTTACGCAGCTAAAGACTAAAGACTAAATGATCAGACCAAAGTCATCTGGTATTTCATCTATGAATTAATTCATAGATTATTGTACATCAGATATTGTGAATTGAAAAAAACAATTCTTTTAAACATAACAATGTTGTTATGTCTAGGTGGTTTAAAAAATATGTAGTTAGCCTAGTGCTTTCCCACTGACCTTATCAATCTCTTACTGAATCATTTCTGTTTCTGTTTTGAGGAAGATATCTCTTGAACAGAAAATCACTATATAAAAATGATTAAATTCAATGGATTCCCCCCACCTCAAGGAGGCCTTTGTGTTCAGACAGAGAACCACCAGTCCTGTCATGGAATATTGAGTTCTCTGTCTCTTATCAGATAAGGATCACGGACAGAAAACAGACAGGTGTTTGCTGCAGCAGCTTGGCGGACACCCACTCCTAGGTGTGTAATTGTAAAAAGTCTTAGGTTTGAAATGTGCCACTCTTTTGTATATAAAACACGTGAGGCTCTTGCAGCTCTGGCTTCTCATTTGCATTCAGCATACAGTGATGCTACTTATATAAGCCAGGCCATCTTTATAATGAATGGTTTCTGTACCAGTCTACAACTAACAGGCTGCCAAAGCTTATTGATGATTGACGATTGAGTTTTGGCTGTATCTAAGACATACAGATGTACCTTCCCAACCTGATTGCTATGTTCTGCTTCTTTCCCACTACAGAATTTTAGCGAGTTGTAACCTGGAGCTCCCCTTAACCTGAACTTGTAGGGTGAAGGTAGTTGGTTCCACTGCATTGTAAACATCAGGAAGGACCAGACTGGCATTATTAAAAGTGCAACAGTGGGACACATGTCATCATTTGTCTATTTTGTGCTTTCTGTTGTTTTCTGTTATAAACATGCACATGAGGTGAAATGGAAATAGGAAAGTTAAAAGTATTTAGTGCCATTTTATTTTGTTGTGAAATAGTTGGTATTTCCATTCATCAGTATGTCTTATTTTACCATTTTGACCTCTGATTTCTTTTTTAGAACCCAGAGGAGAAAGGGGAGACTGAGGAAGGCACGGATGCTAGCAAATCAGAGATCAGCCTGGTCTACGAAATTGCCCTTAAAAGGAACTTGTCTGTCAACTTTGAGGTGAGAAAGACAGAGGGAGTTATGGCACTGTATCCATAAACACCCACAGAAAAAAATGACCATGTGGTGTAGTTATCTGTGGTACTACTGTGGATTGTAAGGCATCCTATTCCTTGAAGTATTCCCAGAATTTACTGGAAATGAGAATAAGACAACACATTTATGGAATGTATGAGTAGTAATGATGTATTTTCTGGGTCGGGAAATGCGACAGTACAGTACAGTATTACAGAAACGAAATCACTCATTAGCTTTGTGAAAAGATAACACGGAGGAAACGGAAGGAGTCACACTGATAATCCCCTGATGATAATGAAATGTGACCTGTTTAAGGTCATATGTGTTTATCCAGCTTTGCTTAATTTTTACATCATCGAGGTCATTTATCACAAATGTCATTAAAAAAAACATGCAAAAAGGATTTCTTAGATGGATTACTATCCTTTAAGGTTTGTGGAAATTCTCATGGTGCTAAGTTCCTGTGTGGTTCTGGTGGTGAAGTCCCAGTGACTCAGCTGATAAGGTGCTGATTGATGCGGCTCATCCAGTCCTGTGATGTTCATGTTCCTATTAGTCAGCCATTTGTCCGGTCCCGCAAAACAAATGGGATTATCAAAACCTTTCTTTGGCAAAGCTTGTCTTAATTTGTGCTTTATTTAGCAGAAAAGTTGATCAAAACCTTAATTTCTGCGATTTTGGAAAACATCACGTGCCTGTTGTGTTGCTAGAACACCTGCATAAGTTAATGCAGTCCGATACAACTTACATCCATTAAATCTTTCTTTCTGAAGCACAGTCTCAACAAAAAGTGGTGCATTTGTTGTTACATTATATCACACATGTTTCATATTCAGGCCACAGTCATTGATTTTTTTTATTTCTTCAGTGCTACAAGAAATAGAAAAGTCTAAATATCTTTTGTATTACTTTGCTGTTCTCTGTAATTCAACGTGACATGTGAACCTTGAGGTCTGAGCTAGAATTTAAAATCAAATTTTGTGGGCTTGAACAGTGTTTGCCTATGCAAATATGAGTTTGTACTGATTAAATCTAATAAAACAGAGTCAAGACACTGAAAATCTATTGTGGTTTCCAATGCAGGATATTGTTGAGGGTTCGAAAATGAGGCAGCAATGAGGCAAAACTGTTTGTTGCCCTGTTTGCTCTTAAGAGTAATAGAGGCAGTCAATGTTGATATTTATTGATTTTACATCTTTACTCCAGTTTTTCTTTATTCACATCTCTCTTGCAAATTAGATCTTGATCTTAGTAAAACCATTTGGTTAAGTAATGACTGTATAAAATACAATTCTTGAATAACAGGTGTCAAATTACCTTAAATTTAGTGCCTTACATAAAAAAGTGCTTCCACCTGGAGATGATCAGACTGAACTAACATATCGCTTGACCAGAACTGAATGCCTGAAGCTGACTGCCATTGAGCTGTCTTCCTTCCTGACAGAAGAGATGCAACATTTTTTAAACATGATATAAAAGTGTGATCAGTCACTGTCAATCTGCTGAGTCAGATCCCTGACAGCATTTCATCTTTTGTGATCAAAAATAATTTTTGTTGTACTCAGCTGAAGATGAAGGATGCTTTATTCATTTCTACAAAACTTGAGCAAAGGTGTTCATTAATTGAGTGAAGGCTGTGGCGGTGTTTCGATCTACTGTATAGAAAATATTCCTTGGGCATTGTCAAACAGTTATTACAGTGAGAAACACATATTTATACCAGATTGAAAACACCTTAGCAACAACCATATTAACCCTGTAAAGCCTTACACATCAAAAATTGCCAGAACATTCAAATTTTTTGGAACTGAGATGTTTATTAAACCTTTTAACAAAATCCAAAAGAAAATTCAAGATTCAAGATTTTTATTTGCCATTTTTGCACAGACAGACAGTCCAGGCATATGGGAATAAATGTGTCATATTATTTTGTTTATTTTTATTTTATTTTTTTTGTATCACGTGATACATTGGGCATTTTTGGAAATTTTTTTTGCTCAGAAACTCGCATAGCAAATATGATACAAATGGTTTTATAGGGTTAAGCCACCTCTGCCTGGGCTTACTTGTTCAGCCATGGTGGTTTCTGTTTGGTAAGAGAGTATTCTTTGTCATAGCTGCTTCTGGGAAAAGCTTTTTGGCAGTGGAGGGCTGGTGGCCTTGATAAACTCAGCAAGGAGCTAACCGCTGGTATGGTCCGCTGGGAGGATTAGCAGTCTGGCTCAAGGTCTCAATTTTGCTTAGCAAGACTCCTCTGGACAATACGGGGAATCCGGTCACTGTGTTTCTAACTGTTAGAGCTACTACCCCCAACAGCTCCGTGAAGGAGTCTAGTGTGTCCTTGCATGACCTGCTTGGTTTGTTCTCCTTGGCTCTCACCATATCTCAGCTGACTCATCCAATATTCTCTCCTTCATTACTCCCTCTCCTTCTGCAATCTGCAAGGTGCCAGAAATAAGGGAGGCTCAGTTTATTTTGTGTGCTCCCTCCCTTCTTCTACAGAATCCCTCCTTTCCACTTCTCCTACCCAATATCACACATAGGGGCGGTAGCGTGTTGAGAATTTTACACCACCCCTCTCTTCATCGTTCAGAAACATATTTATTCCTCAGAGCATGACATTGCTACACTATCTTTCCTGGAAATGCTATTAATAGTTTCAGTTAGTTAAATGTGGATTGATATGATTCATCTTCCGTTAAGTCTTGGTCACTATCAGCAGTTACACCACTTTTTTTTTTCAGTCCTTCGAAATGGTGGGCAGTAAATCGGTAGCTCTCCCACTTTGTCTTCATTTCACCATCTACAGTA